GAATAAAACAATTTATAAATATTTATAAAATTAGTTTGACATGTAAAAATTAAAATATTTTTATTATATATATATAAGGAGCAAGAGGAAAAAAAAAAAAAAAAAAAAAAAAAGGAAATGGGTATGCATGTGGGTATGATGCCCAAATGGCATGTATGTATATATGACAAAATTCAGAAAAATAGATTTATTAAATATATATGATTGAAATGAAACCCCAGCAAAACACTGTGCTTCCATTTTATATATCAAAAAACAACAAGTTCTGAGAAAGAGAGAGAGAAAAGAGGTGAGGCAAGATAGGTCTATACATCCATTGTTTTCTTCTCTTCAGTCTTCCACCTCCGGATTGTAGCTGTCCCCTTATATACTTTCCTCTTGGTGCTTTCTGGGTTTTAAATTTCATTTTTCTTCGTTATTTTCTTCCCCTCTTGGTTCTTTCTGCTGGTTTTACCCATATATATAACCCCCACCAAATTCAATTTCCCTTTTCTTTATTTCTCAGTTATGAAAGAATTAAGATTCAAAAAGCTCATCCTCAGAGCTCAGATTTTATGTTGGTTTTGGTAATTTAATTTGGGTTTGATTTTTTTGGTGACTTCTAGGTTTTGGTTTTGTTAGGAGTATCAAAAATTAAGAAGCAGAGAAGAAATAGAGCTGAAAACATAAAAGCTGCTTAAAGATGGCTGCTGCCTCATCATCCTCACCCTTCTTCGGAGCTACCAGAGAGGAAAATCAAAACCAGACGTCCTTACAGCAACATTCCTCCACACCGACTTCCTCATCTGCTGCTCCAAACACTGCACCTCCAAAGAAGAAAAGGAACCAACCTGGAACACCAAGCAAGTAGCTAGCTCTTTACATCTAAAGAATCTGAAGAAGGGCCAAATTCAACCCTAATTTGAAATTTGGGATTTTGGCTATGTTTGAGTTGTCTTTTATATCTTGTTTGTTTTTCTAATTATCATTATTATTCTTTTGTTTGGAATTGGATGAGAGCAGATCCAGATGCAGAAGTGATAGCACTATCTCCCAAGACCCTAATGGCAACAAACAGATTCATATGTGAGGTATGCAACAAAGGGTTTCAAAGGGAGCAAAATTTGCAACTTCACAGAAGAGGACACAACCTGCCTTGGAAACTAAGACAGAAGACTACAAAGGAAGTGAAGAGAAAGGTTTATTTGTGTCCCGAACCCACCTGCGTCCACCATGACCCCTCGAGGGCACTCGGTGACCTCACCGGCATCAAAAAACACTACTCTAGAAAACACGGTGAGAAGAAATGGAAGTGCGAGAAGTGTTCTAAGAGGTACGCGGTTCAATCCGATTGGAAAGCTCACTCGAAGACTTGCGGCACTAGAGAATACCGATGTGATTGTGGTACTCTCTTCTCAAGGTACTCAATTTCTCACAATATAAATCATATGCTTAATCATTTTTTTTGTAGTCATCCTTTAATTCTGTCCATGAATTGTATTGAATTATTTTCTTCTTTTTGAATGGAATTTGAACCGAGGACATTTCACACCGACCTTAAGCTAGTACCTTAGAAAAACTCGGCTGTTTCAGAAAATTCTTCCTTCAACTGTTGAGGGACGTGTTTGCACGTGAATAACCTGCGAGAGACACCCATGGTGGGGAGAGGTTGAAGAGGAAAATGGAAGAAGGAAAGGAATATTTCAAAAAAAAAAAAAAAAAGGTTTTCATCTTTTTTATATTTTTTTTCCCCTACTTTCCTTCTCAATTTTCACCTCGGTAACGTCGCCCCTCTATCTTTCTCTATTCACGTGTTGTTAATTTATACGGTGTCAGGAAGGGAAATTGTTGCTGGATTTGTTTTCATGTGAGTTGGATATGTTTACTGGGTTTGTTCTCTTCTGGGTTGGCTTTGCATTTTGCAAGTACTTCTTCCCATGTAAACGTTAGGGTTGTGGGGCTGCCTAATTAGATGCTCTCACTATCTCTCTTTTCTTTTCCCTCTCTCTTTTTTCCTTGTTGATTTGAATTATTTTCAATGGGACATTGCTGGTTCTTGGGTTTCTTCAGTTTATTTCATGGATGTGGAAAAATTCTTTCAATATTTTCAGAGACTCTTTTTCATGGGTGTTTTTGCATTTATTGAAGCTAGTCCAAGAAATTAATATGGGCTTCTGTGATTTTCTGGTTTTTCTTCAATCTTGCTAATGATGCCCTACTTCATTTATTGAACTCCCTCTCCTCAAAATGGTAGTTTGAGTTTGACTTCATTTATCTTCAGTCTTGGTCTCCATCTTCTATTAACTCTCTCTGAGGAGGCTGTGAAATAGGTTCTTTTTTTCCTCATTTCTTGAAGACTGACATGAAATATTTTCTATAATTTGAAGGATTACTTTTTTTACCTTAAATTTGGAAGTATAATATCTCCCAATTAATTTGCCAACTCATGTTATTTATATGGACAACAAATTAACTAAAACAAACTCAAGTTTTTCTGTCTTCTTAAAGCATGTAATCTAATTAACTATATATTGTTTCTCCTTTACAGTCTGTAAGAAATTAATGTTTTTCCATGAATAACTTTTTACTAAATGATGCTCAATTCTACTTTGATTTCTCAAGCACGAAATACAATGGCTGCATTTTTATCCTGTTTCTGTTGCAGGCGTGATAGTTTTATCACCCACAGAGCTTTCTGTGACGCCCTGGCTCAAGAGAGTGCAAGGCAACCCGGTAACTTGAGCACCATCGGAAGTCATCTGTATGGAAACAATCCCATGAGTTTAGGCCTGTCTCAAGTGGGGTCTCAGATTTCTTCCCTACAAGATCACCAGAATCATCCCTCAAGTAACATGTTAAGGTTGGGAAGTTCCGGGGCAGCAAAATTTGAGCACCTCATCCCCCCATCAAATCCTCCTTCTCTGCAAGCCATGGCGCCCGCATCTGCTTTCTTCATGGGAGAAGCTGGCCAAGGCTTTCAAGAACGCCATTCAGCGCACGGAGGCCAGTTTTCGAATAAGACATTACATGGACTAATGCAGCTTCCTGATCTTCAAAGCAACACTAACAATTCCGCTTCCTCAGGAAATCTCTTCAACTTGAGTTTCTTTTCTGGTAATAGTTCCACCAGCAGCATGAATAACAGTGAGAATGTGAATTCGGGATTCCTAGGACATAATCAGTTTAATCATGGGAATGGTGGTGGACAAGGGGCATCACTGTTCTCTAACATGGGTGAAAATATCAGTTCGGGTCTGTCTTCTATCTATAACACTTCAATGCAACAGGAGAACATCTCCCCTCATATGTCTGCCACTGCTCTGCTCCAAAAGGCTGCTCAAATGGGTTCGACTACGAGCAGCAATCCCACAGCTTCCACCTTGCTAAGGGGATTAGGGTGTTCTTCCTCTAGTGGGACTAAATCTGACAGGCCACTTCTCTCGACTAACTTCGGGGCGAGTTTCGGGGGTGGCAGTGGAGGGGAAACCCTAAGAACTCAGATGGAAAACGATAACAATCTTCAAGGGTTGATGAATTCTCTCGCAAACGGGAACTCCTCCATTTTCGGGGGTGACCAAGGACAAGACAGTACTGGATTTGGTGGTTTCATTGATCAACAAAACAACGCTGCCAGCTTTTGCAACGTGAATGAGGCTAAATTACATCAGAACCTCGCGGTGTCGGATAAGTTGACCTTAGACTTCCTGGGTGTCGGTGGAATGGTTAGAAACATCGGAGGAGGTTTCTTACAGAGGGAGCAGCAGCAGCATGGGATCAACATTCGCAATTTGGACCCAGAATTGAAGTCGGCGTCGGGTAATGACCAACAATTGGGAAACACAAAGCTGCTGTGAAAGTTGGTCACGTACATGCATGCAGCTAGGTTAATATGTAGGGAACAATATGTCCACCTGCTTAGACCCATTGAGGGTTTCTTAATTTCCTAAACGCATCTTAATTAAGACTTACTCTAGATGCAATTTTATTAATTTTGTAGCTTTTCAAGGAGAAACATAACTCTATAATTTTCCCTTTCGTGTTTTTACTTTTAATTAATCTATATAAATGCAGCTACTTTTCATGGAAACCTTAGGTTTTCCTTGAAAGTTGAAAACGGCTGCGTCAAAGTTATTTGAGTTCTCAATTTTTAGGCTTACTTGCAAAGTTGTTCTACACATTTAATACTTTGCAATATAGTCCTTATTTATTTATTTATTTATTTGGTTAACTAAGATAAATAATAAAAATAAAAATAAATCATTTTTATAATCTAAGAAGTACGTTACATGTGGTTGTGGGATGTCACATCAATTTTCTTATCAACCAAATGAAAATGCTTTATTGAAGAAGTAGCAATGTGACTCAACTTATACATCCTTATTATATTTAAGATGATGTGAAATCAATCTTATTCAATATATAGTTAGTGGTTTTCCACCTCAAAAAGCTTATGCAGTACTTTTATTACATGTAAAGATTTTTAAAGTTAAATAATAAATTTTTATACTTTTTTTTAAATGAACTGAAAGATATATTACTAATGTTATTTATTTTTTTTTTTATCAAAGAAGATGACAAAAAATGATTATATTCATATTGAAACAAAATAAGAAGTCAAGGATCAAATTGATTTGGTCTAAAAGGTTGAAGACAACTTTGCAAGAACCACAAAGTTTGAGAACTTATATTTTCTTAATTAAAAAGGAGAGATGAAGAAGCTGAGGTATGCCATGTTGAGTAGAATGGAAAAAAAAGACCCAAAGAAATTATTAGAATCTTTGCATGCTGACTACATTCCAGCAGACTCGACAAGCTAAGAATTTTTCTTTACTTATTTCTTCCATTAATTATTATTTCAAGGAAGAAAGAGATAAATGTTCAAAATATTAATTTCATTAATAGTTTTAAATTTCCAAAAGAATTTGTTCGGCTACCTAATACCTAACCCTAACACTAATGATATTACCAAAAACCAAAACAATTCCCGGAACTTGTTGACATTCTTTAGACGGTTAGTTTGCCTTTCATTTTCATTCCTTCATCCGTTGACCCCACTCTACATATATAATTTTCTTCTTTTTCCTCTCTTGTTTTGCTTTTTACTTTACATGCAGAAGTACTGTTATATATGGGAAATCGAAACCCCTACACGTCCAATTCCATGCGATCTGTAAAAGGTTGTTAGTAATATAAATTTGATTTTTTGAACATTGTAAATGAATGTTTGTATTTGGGAACTGAGAGTTTTGGTCTGAATTCAGACAGTAGGACCAGAATTGTTCGTTAGGTTGATTATATATATAGTATGAAACTCATAATATGCCATTTTTGTCGCAAATGTTGTCTTCTATTTATCTTTTATGGAATCATTAGTCCGTGACTGCCGAACAGGAAAAGAATATCAACAGCTTTTTAGGTTTTTTTAAAATTTTAAAATTGAATCTCTTCTCTAGATCTACAAGGATAATTTTAAACGTCTATTCACAGAAGCACAGATCGAGTTGGTTAATATCTGACTGGATAGGTCTGCTTGGTGAATTCTAAATTCGATCGCGAGCTCAAGAAGCTAGTTTAATCACCATATATAATACATTATAAAACTTAGTAACTCGGAGGGGGAGGGAGAAATTTGGGTGTATGCACCTAAGGGGTGTTTGTTTTGATGTTTTGTAATTAATTATGAATTGTTAATTTTAATTGAATGAATTAGATATTTTAAATTATAAATAATTATTATTATTAATTATTATATATCAGTTATCAGTTATATATAAACACTAATATGTGTTTTTGGAGGTGCATTATATGCCTCCAAATTACAAAAAGTAGTACATGCACCCAGCTAGACATGGCAACGGGTTATAGTTCGAGTTGTTGCAGGTTGGGTGAAACTCAAGTCACTATCAAGTCAACAAGGACAGACTCTAACATTTCCTGTTTTAAACTTTATTTTGTTTACTTTAATTCAATAAATTAAATTTTAGATAGTTTTTATGATTAATTTCAAGTTATAACAGTACTAGAAAAATGTACTACAGATATACTGTTGGGGATTCAAATAACCAACGCCTAGATTAATCCCCACAACAATCTCAGACGAGGAGAATGGACAACAGATTGAAGGCGATAATGACTGAAATAATTGGGGTGCAACAGGTGGCATTTGTTGAGGGGAGACAACTCTTTGAAGGAGTAGTCATAGCAAACGAGCTCTTTTTTTTTTTCTTTTTCTTCTTTTTTTTTTTTTTTTGAACTGGCAAACGAGCTCATTGATGGAGCCAAGAGTTAAAAAATCCCAAGCTTTGTGCTGAAGCTGGATTTTGAGAAGGCCTTTGACAAAGTCAGCTCACTTTCTTCTTTCTTCTTTCTTTTTTTTTTTTTATTTTTTTTTTTTTTACAAGGGTCATGGTTAGGAAGTTAATATGTGTTAGTTGTTAACAATTGGGATTCCTAGATCGATGAACATTTCACCTCTCAAATGAGGCACGCGGCCATTAAGGTGCAATTTGGTAGAGTTCACGGCGGTGATAGAGTTCGAAACCCTAACCACCGCATCACCCAAACCCTAAGGCTTGGAGGCGAACCATTGGGCCTCAGGCCCACTTCACAAAGTCAGCTCACTTTTTAGACTACGTGATGAGGAGAATGGGCTTTGAATGGACTAAAGCTTTGTGCTATCTGTGCTAGTGAATGGCAATGCAACTAGGCAATTTGGAGTCTCTCGCGGGCTAAAGCAAGGCGACCCATTGTCATAATTTCTTTTCTTAATTGTGGCAGAGGGTCTCATTGGGAATTATCTCCTCCGTAACTGACAAAAACCTCTTTGAAGGAGTGGAAATTGGTAATGACAATCTACATCTCTCCCATATTCAATTTGCTGACAACACTATAATCTATGGGAGAGCCATGAAGAAAAACATATGGGCAGCTAAATGTATGCTCCGGGTTTTTGAACTTGTCTCAAGGCTTAAAATAAACCACGCAAAAAGCAACATGTTTGGGATCCATACAGAAGTGGATTGGTTATCAAAAATGGCATGCCTATTAAATTGCAAGATCAAAGACATGCCTTTCAAATATCTTGGAGTTGTGGTGGGTGGCAATCATAGAAGGTTAGCATTATGGCAGCCACTGGTGAAAGGTTTCAAGAAGAAGTTGACAAAATGGAAAGGATGTTGGTTGTTATTTGGAGGTAGAATTACCCTACTTGGCTCTATGCTCTTTTATCTTCCTGTTTTCCTCTTTTCGGTCTATCTCGCTACCAAAGGTATTACTAAAATTCTTGAAAAAATTAGGATACATACATTTTTTATGGGGTGGGTGTGAGGAGGAAAGGAAGAATAATTGGGTTAAATGGCAGCAGATCTGCCAAAACAAAGGTGAGAGGGGTCTGAGGTTAGAAAAACTTTAAGGCTATTTAATTTAGCTTTGTTAGGGAAGTGATGGGGAAATTTGGATAAACAGTCTGTGGTACAAAATTATTGAAGCAAATATGGAAGAACTGATTATTGGGTGAACTGGGTTAGTCAAGGTAACAAAATCTCGTATCTGTCAATGTTCAAAGCAAATACAGGATATATAAATATAAACAAATACCTAACTCATACTTGTATCTGCTCACCTCTAATGTTAAACTTTAAATGGTTTGTGGTATGTACTCCTAATTTCCCATTACTCGGGCAATCACCCTTGTTTAGGATGTCTTAACTTGCAATATAATTTTAGATTGGACTCTGTTTTAGTTTAGTTCCTAGATCTTGTATCTTCATACATATTTCTTTTAAAAAAATAATAACCCCAAGTTTAATATTTTAGTAGATGTTATTCTGCAAGTCAAATTAAGAATTTAAATCTTAATTTAAATATTTAAAAAAGTTAATTTCTTTTAAATTCACTATATAAGGACACCCAAGGAAGAATTAGTTTCAAAGTGTACAAAATCAAAAAAATGTACAAAAATTAACTCAAGAAAATCTAAACATAAATACAAAAAAAAAAAAAAAATGCAGATGTCAATTTTACATGTTCAAAAGTCGGTGTAAAACTGCTAAAGAAATCCCACCATGTAAAAACACTGCGAAAACTCAGTTCCATCCAAAAGGTTCTATCATTTATATTCCCAACACCACATTGATCGTATTAGCGTATCTCTCTAACAACCGCTTTTATCAATTGTAGATATACCTTTTTCCCCTCAAGATTACCTTATACCTATTGAAAAGTATGTGTTTAAAGTTTAAACCTCAGATATCCCTGAACTAATACAACAACAGCCATATAAATGAAATATTAAATCTACTCAAAAAAGGGGGAAAAAAAGACTACCAGGTTCTGCAACTCTTCTAACCCATTAATAGTGATGATAGTATCTCTCCCATAGTCTTCTCAGACATGTCACCTTCATTGTCGACATCCATGCCAGACTCAAGCACAGCAGCATCCAGAGTTAGTTTCCTCTTTGCAATCTCATAAACATTCTCATCAACTGTACCTTTGGTCACCAGCCTGCAAATTGAGATATTAAGAACAACAATGTATTCAACATCGTGGATTGATAATGGTGCTTCCTTCATAAAAATATAAGGAATAAAACGGAGATAAAAAGAAAATAAAACAGAGGTTTCCAAACACCTGTATATGGTAACAGTCTTTGTTTGGCCAATACGATGACAACGATCTTCAGCTTGCCGATCAATCTGTGGATTAAAATCCATATCATGGATTACCACGGTATCAGCTCCGGTTAAGTTTAAACCCTGCCCTCCAGCCCTCGTGGACAGCAAACATGCAAATATGGAAGTGTCACTATTGAAAGTATCCACTATAGTCTGCCTGTCTGTCACTTGGGTGCTGATCTCGAAAGAGAATTAAGAAAATTAACATGTAATTAATTTCTAGTCAATGGCAGTGAGTCAAACCAAAACAAAAACCAAAAAAAAAAAAAAAAAGAATGCGAGTAAAGACATAGAAGAGCCATGAATTATTCAAGTGATTTGATGAAAGCTTAAGATGTGAGTACTAAGTAGTGTGATTTTGTGTGTTAAGAATCTCCTTTTTGAAGCATGTGACTAGAGAAAATGACTATAACTCAATGTGCCATTAGAACATAATTAAAAATCAAATAGCTATATCATTTCCCCCCAACGCCACTTTTCTTTTCAGAACCTCTTTCTCTAGTTTGATTGGTTAAGCTTTGCCGCCTTCATCTCCTACCACTCCTATCGTGGCACATTTTCTCCCACTACTATTTTCAAAATAAGAATCCAACAAAACCTGCTATAAATAATAGCATAAAACAGACGCATTTTTGAAGCGGGTGAGCATACACACAATAGGGACAGTAGATCTGCCACGATGAGAGAGAGAGTAAAGAGGAGATGGCAATGGCAAAGCCATGGTGATAAACAAATCAAACTAAAGAGAAAATGGAGGGAAAAGCGGAGTGGAGTTTTCTTTTAACATCAATTGTTTCTCCTTTTTTCATTTTTGCGGTATATAGTTGAATTTAATAATTCATAAGGATAGTGACATAACTTATTCTTAACCTTGTCTTCAATCTTTCACAAAAGGGGGCATCCCAAACAAAACCAACCCCTAAAATGATCAGTTCATTGAGCAAGTGATTTCCTCAACTTACATATCCACATAAAGAGCATCCCTCCAAATCCAATTCATCTCGGGTTAAAAGAAAGCTAGAAGTCTTAGGCATTTTGTTACCACAAGACCGCAAGCATGTTGCTGGTTGAGGTCAAATAGGAGCAGGCAACCTTGTCCACTCTTGATTATTCATACTGGGCTATACTTACTACTAGACGTCAAGGTGTGCATTGCGTACCTCATTTGCAATGATTTGGGTAATCACTAATTTTAAATGTAAGAATTTATTAAAAAAAAAGTTTGAACAGTAGGAATTGCTATAAGCAATGAAAGAGCCAAAATTAATCAAGCAAACAAAGACCAGTGGAATAGGAAGGGTGGACAAAGTACACACATATATATAAATAGTTAGTGTAGAATAGATAATTCAATTCTGGATGCATAAGATACCAAGTCCTATTCTTGATTGAACTGTAGTAGCTAATGAGAAAATATTTTTTGATAAAAAATATCAACTTTCCAAGACTTAGTATCTGGGAATTATTAATTTTCTAGTCTATTTTTTTTTTAATTATGTTTAATGAGACAGATAAAATAGGAAGAAAGAGTGAACCAATTAAGTTGCATAGCCACCACACATCTACACTTACTAATCTGTGACTCCCACACTCTTATTCTATAATTATAGATTGAAATAATTTCCTGTTTTATATTAATTTCCTAATCTATGGGTCCACACCCCTTATGTTATATTTGAGCTACTCTTTAATAGTTATTTTTTAAAAAACTTTATTGGGTATTTATTGAGTATTTTTTTAAAGTCCATTGGGTATTTATTTGAGAATGTTAGAGGGATTTTGTTACTACGGTAATTTTTTATATGGTTAAGATGTTGCATTTGGAGTTGCCTTCCACATACTTTTTCAGACAACACCTCATAAAAATGTTAAATTATTATGATTAAATTAATTTTAATTGATATTTTGTATAATTTAGTGGTCATATGAATGGATCAAACTCTTTTCAAAACAATTATCAAACAATAACATAATTTTTTTCATAGTAAAATACTAGAAAAGCTACAATTAGAACACTTTCCAGTAATCCCAAACACAACCTAAGATTATAAATGCAAAAGGCTCCATTTAGTATGGTTGTGGTTTTTGATTTTTGATTTTTAAAACTTTAGAAACCCTAAAATAAAATTAACAAGTTTTATAAATTAATTAAGTTTTCAATTTTGCCTTTGGGTAATAATTCTAAAAATTTATAATAAGTTGGCAATTTTAATTTTTAATTTTGATTTTCAATTGCTAATTTTAATAGGTTAAATTTTGGCAACTAAAATAAAAAACTTAAAACTACAACCATGCTAAATGGAGTCTTAAATACTGTAATTAATCCCAATTAGGAATATTAGGAACTATTTCACTACTATACTTTTAGTTTTAGAACATAAAATATTACCCATATTCGCAACTTTTGTTACAAATCAAATAAAAGAGAATTTTCTAACTCAACCCTAAAATTTTATCATATACATCAATTAATTCCTTAATATGGACAAAATTAAACTAAAATCAAATCATTTTCAATTCAACAAAATTATCAGTTTAAAAATTGACAATTATAATGAGAAAAAAATTGGATTAGAAAACTAAAAAGTGAGAAAACCTTGTAATAAAAAAGTATAAATGTGAACGTGTTTGTTTCAATATTACAAAGTTAGCACCAAGCATTGGTTTTTCTGAATTGAAAAGAGAGAGAGAAGAAGAGAACAAGAAGAAAATAAATGACATGCATTTTTGTAAATCAGAAAATGATTAATTGACAATAATTGTTGCCAATGAATCCTCACAACATAACATGGTAGTCATGTCATGTCATAATTTAAGAATAATTGCAAACAAAAGCTAAAACAAATAGCAGAAAATTTGAACACTAAAATATTGCACAAAATTTGAAATCCAAATCTCAGTTTCAAATTTCTGAACACTCTCCATCCAGCGATTCCAAATTGCAGTAGAATTTTGAACAAATCTTATTTTCCAATTAAAAGACACTGTGACTTGGCTGCCACTTAGACCAGCCATGCTACAATGTGAGGATCATTTTCCATTTTTGAAAATAGATCCATGGTCATGTACCTTGCAGACTTGGAGGCAGCATTCAATTTACCTTACAGATTCCTCTTCATTCTATTTCTCTCATGAGAACAAAACAGATGTTCACCCTCATTTTAAAAAATGGTTCTTAAATTAAACCACTACATCTATCCTTGAATAGAATTGAAACAAAGATGAGTCTTGGGGCTCTGTAAGGTAAATTGAATGCATTCATTTAACCAAATAATCTATAAACAATTGTCCATAATTGCAGGTCTTCCACTTCTACTACTTCTCATTCCTCGTCTTAACAAGTTCTCATGACAGAGAGATAAAACCTTGGAAGGCAGATTTCAATGAAAAGAGACTGAGATTTGTTTGAAATTCCCTTGAATTTGCAATTAGGATATCTCTCTCATGCTCTCATTAAGCCATGCCATTTAATTGGGATTATTAAAATAAAAAACAAAACAAAACAAAACAAAATATTGTAACCAGTCACAATAAAGTTAAAGCACCAACCTACCCCAAATTTTCCAGAAAAGAGAAACAGAGAAAAGCACATAAAGCCCTAATTATAATCAGAGCAAAAGGAGTACCTTCCATCAAGTCGTTTATATGTAACCCCAATTACATCCAAAGTCCATTCTAAGATATCAAGCATCGATGTCCATTGGCTAAAAATCAGAACTCGATGCCCACCTTTCTTAAGTGAAGGAAGGAGTTCAGCTAATGCCTGCAGAACAGATAAAGCAATTCATTCTGCATTCATAGTCAAATCTGATACGCCTTCCTAATTACAATTTGAAAATTTTAAGTAAATTAAAGTGGGAAGAAGCTTATTTCAATAGAGAGATCACAGAAATCATACCTGACATTTTGCTGAAAGCATAACATGATTGTCAGATAAAATCCCTTTACCAACATTAATGCCATAATGAAGCAAAAGCTGCAATGAGGTTGAGAAACATATGAAATTATGAATGTCAAAACGACAGATAGTTCATAGCAATTAAATTACATCCAAACAGGCAACATAAGAATTTGTGATTTTGATCATTAACTGATTTATCAATGCAAAAACTCCCATCTTGAAGTTCCAGTTGCAACCTCGTCAATATGCAAAGGAACACAGATGATTTATGAAAAAAAATTAAAGCTAAAACTAAAACAAAAATAGAAGGCAATACGCCACCAGTGAAAATATGCAGATACAATAGTAACAGCAGGCCACTGAAGCAAAATTATGCCAGATATTACAGTTATCCAATCTACTCTATAGAACGAGGAACTGGCACACCAATAGATAGACACATCCAATCATATACTAATAATTCTAATTACCTATTTCCATATTCTGGCTACAAGAGACGAATTTTGAAAAAAAAAAAAAAAGAAACCAAATTTCAAATGAAAATAAAATCATTAACATTGTAGGTAGTAGTGGTACTCCACATGGAGACATAAGGAATTGAAGGGCCAAAAGGAACTAGTGTCGATGAAGGATGACTTGTGGTAAATAAATAAATAAATAATAATAAAACAAATGGAGGATGGCCCAAGGAGTTCTTAAAATTCTAGAGCTATATCAGGAAAATGCAACTAGGAACCAGTAGCAATGTAGCTAGGAAAGCTGATGAACATATCATGGTTCATGGTTTATCCAATTAAACCTGGAGTCTTGATGCAAAAATTTTAAGGAAAAGAGCTAACAAAATTTAACAGTAGAAACCATCACAACAAAAAAATAGCAAAGTTAAACTTCTCATAAACATCCCACACATCTCAAAAAGAGACCTGTTTTGCTTCCTATAAACTCAAATGCTTAAAAGAGACTGTAACAAATCATAAAGAAAATAATTACCCGATGAATGGAGAAGTCATTGTAACCCTTAAGTTCCTCAATAACACGGTCCAAGGTGCATTCAAAACCAAATGCACCAATCGGATGTAGAATTTTAGCAAAGCGAACAATGTCCTTGTCATTATAAATTCGCCTCACTAACAATGGATGATTTGCAATCTAAATAAGTTCAAACACAAAAAACATTGCACAATTACAAAAAATATTTACATTTATATGAAAAGAAAATAAACTCTACTGGGAAAGAAAATAAATATAGGGCACCTTACGGAACTGAATAAAGTAGTTTGAGATCTGACGGCGAGGTAGAATTCCATTACTCAAGTTGACCTTTGAAAGCTTTGCAATACGAGCTTGCGAGGCTGCACGATATTCCTCTATGGCTTCCCTATAGGCATCATCTTGTTGCTTTTCCATAATTACATATTCAACCTACACAATAAACACTTGTTAAATAGGCTTTCAAATTAAAGTTCCATCAGAAGGTAAAACTGAGAATCAATAAGCAATAATGAGAACATACCTGCTGTATTTTTGGGACAAGTTGTTGCATGACATCTGATTTTAAACGTCTCAAGATGAACGGTCCCAAAATAGACTTCATACGACCAATCAATTCACTATCTTCTGCGTTTAGAAGCTTTTTTAGGTCTACATCCCCGGTGGCAAAAAGATCAGGCATCATGAACTCTAGCAAAGACCATAGCTCCTGATACAGTAATTAATCACATAAGAAACGAGAATATAACATGTAGCAGAATATGAACCATGTCAAATGAAACTCTACCAATTTGAATTTAAAAGTCAGATATTTCTAACAACTGTCATTCCATGACCGAAGAAAATACAAATCAAGATCAGAAAGAAAATAACAGAAACCACAGTTTCCTGAATCCAGTTCAAATATTCAGAATATCCACTTCAAATGCCTTTTACTTCTAGACAAGCATTTTTTCAGTTACTCACTAGCATCCACTAAACATGGAATGTAATGATTAAGTCACACAAGACCTGTATTATAAGACTACAAGACTGGGCAAACATTATTTCATAAGGAATGTGAGCAAAAAGGTTCTATTGCCACAATCATTATGGAGCAGGAAGAGATTATTTAGTACATGTAAATCATTTTGGAGAGGTGTGCCGGTTAGCATCAGACGTTGGTTTGCATTTCGAGCAACAGACATTAGATTTTTCCACCTATAACTATTTTTGTCCTTCAAAGCATGTGCCTCATCCATCAGTACACAGCTCCAATGCCAACGTTTCAAAATTTTCCGATCATCCTTCTGCTGCACACTATAGAGACCATGAAAGATGAACATTAAAGCACATAATCAACCATAAACATGAATACCTAACTTACAGCAAAAGTTTACCTGTGTCGTTCAAAAAGTGAGTAACACACAAGAAGAACATTGAACGGAGGTGACAATCCAGCTTTGGATAAAGAGCTAAACTCTCTTGAATAGGCTGCCCTTCCTGAACCATGATACTGGAGTACAGAAAATGATGGACACCACTTTTTAAGTTCCCTTTCCCAGTTTTCCAAAAGAGAAGCAGGACAGACAATTAAATGTGGACCAGGATCATTATTCAAGTGTTTCAGCAAAGTTAGATATGTAATAGCCTGTAGGTAAAGCAACATCAGTCTAACTAAAATCAAAATAGAGAGCTTTAGTGATTGAGGAAAGTTCAAAATTAATATACCTGAATTGTTTTCCCCAGTCCCATTTCATCTGCTAATATTGCTGCATTCGAATAAAAAAATAAAAGTAAATAAAATAAAAAAATAAAAAATAAAAAAAGCTAGTCATGAAGTATCCGACACATATGCAAACAAGGGTAACTGAAACATTAAATAAAAACTTGAGGCAAAGCATTAGGAGATATGAATATCAGGAATTTAGCACCATGACTGCCCCACATGCAGTATAAGAGGAGATCTAAATTCATTTTTGTAATTGTGATGTAATTCTAGGTTCTATAATTTACCTTTTAATTGGATAGATTTAGGTTCCTAACTGTTTCAAATTAGAGTTCAAATTGGATCAGTTAATGTAATTCTAGGTTCCCCCTTCCCCCTCCCTCGTACAGGTATTATTTTGCCCTTAAGGATATGTCAGGTGAAATTGGCAATGATGCAACGTTCTATTTAGGAGACAACGAAAAATTGAGTAATCTCTTATATTCTCCTCTGATTCCATCACCTATTTCCTCCATTTTGTTGCATGATATTATATTCTGGAGATAATGACCTGAACTGCAGGTCCATTTGTCCCTAACCCTACACAATGGCACTTGCACCTTGTGAGGCATGCCTAGACGTGCTTTAACATTGGATCTAATTTAAGAACATAATAGAAAACATAATAAATCACTTTCGTTTGGACAAAATATAAAGATCTAGACATAAAAGGTAAATATGATTTCAATACAGATACACAGTTATATAATCATTTTGAACTTTGTTACCACAAATTGACCACATGAGCTTCACATTTAGAATTTTTTCTGACATAACTCTATGCAATGTTATAAGGACAATGGTATCTCAGAAAGGACAACTACTTGACAACACCTTAGTCAAAGCAACCTCAGTGTGGTGCACACCAAGGCATGCCTCATCTCACTTTTTACAAAGCACAAAGTGCAAAAATATTTGCCAGACTCATGTTTTCCACTAATACTCAAAAGTTTTATATCTGAAGCAAGGTTCAAAGAAACTTACAAGTTTTGGTAAGCTATTCTTCGGAGATGTATCCATTAGTTGAAAAGCTTTTGTTTTGTTTTTAAACTTTTAGTAAAAACCCTTCGATTATGACTTTTACAATATATTGCGTAATATAGAACCCATGTCTCTTCTACCCTAGAACAAGCCAATGACATCAGCAAGAAGCACTACCCACCACCTGCAGCCATGCAGCCAGCAGGAAGAAAGAAGATGAAGATGAAGAAGAAAGAAAGAAAGAAAGAAAGAGGCAGAAGAATCAACCATGTTAGTTCCTTCTTTTTCCTCCATGCGCTCCCTCTCTCTCCAGCCTTTATTTCTTTCCATTTTTCTTCCTCTTTTCTTCCTTGATTCACATAGAAGCACTCGTGCATCCATTCTTACCCATCTCTCCCCACCTTTTCTTTTTTTTCTTTCCTTTATACTTTCTGTTATAAAGTAAGGTCAAGGATTCAAATCCATTCCAGTAGGATGCAAATCCTATGGACAGTAGGTTTAGCATTTGTCCAGTTATCATGTCAAATATAAATTCATGTCAAAGGATTCAATTACTTAAGTCTTTTTGTGGTTTTTAAGCCCTACATTAGGAGTTTAGGACCTTACTAAGTTCTGATGTTATGCTATGATACCCAAAAAGAATTAAGAGTGTCATGCGTCTGTATTTTCTAACTCGCTTGTAATATATAAAATCTTAGTCAGGAGCATTCCTCCTTGACTCTAAATTAGAAAAATGGAATTATGGAATTCTCGCCTAGAGTGCAAGACTAACAACTCTATTAGAAAGTCAAATTACCAACTTTTACACGAATTTGAAAGTGGATGAGATCAGTCAAGTGGTCTCAGTTGGAGATGGTATTGCACGTGTTTATGGATTGAATGAGATTCAAGCTGGGGAAATGGTTCAATTGTGATTGTGTTGACGTTACGCTGGGAAGTCCTGGTGAGTTTCCTTTCCCAATTGTATTAGTTTCAATATTCTTGTTTACTGAGTTGTCATATTATCGCTATTAAGGGTGGTGGTTATGGTGGTGGACATTGTGTCTGTGCTTGTTAGAAGTTAAATGGCATATATTGACAATTAGGAGTATACTTCAAGATAGTCTCTTTTTCTTCAATTGTGACTCTAGTTCAAAAAGGTAAACGCATTGCTTGTCTTTCTTCTTATCAAAGCAAAAGGGTCATCAACTAACTGTATATTGCCCTCCCTTTCTCTTATTTTGGTATTCCTAGCATATCCCTGGCTAAAGGTTCTTTTTACATAGTGAAGGGCAATGATTCTGCTCATCCTTCCAAATCTTTACTCATTATCAGTATTATATATTCCAAAGTTTTTGTTTAATTTGGTGTCTATTCATAAACTTTCCCATGATTATAACTGCTGTCTCATCCCTGATTACTGTGATTTTTAGGATCCATCAACAAAGATGATATTGGTAAAGGATGAGTTACTGATGCTATTATTTTGACAAGAAATATGAATCATTGATTGTGTGTGTGTTCCAGTACTTCTCTTCAACTTTATTATTGGTTTGATCATCCATCTCTTTCCCACTCAAAAAAAATGTAACCTAATTTAATCTCCTTGTTAGTATTGAATTGACAATCATGTCAACATGCTAAACCCCATCAAGTCTCTTATTTTCAAAAAGTGAATTCTTTATGATATGGTTCAAATAAATGTTAGAAGTTAGAACAGAAGCCCTTGTCATATATGGGAAACTTTATGGTATGTTTGGTTTGAGGGAAACGAAATGAAGGGGAGAGAAGGGGAGGCAAGGTGAATGGAAGGATGTTCTATCCTTCCATTTCCCTTCATTTCCCTCCTCTCTCCTCCCCTTATTTGGATAAGTAAAAGAATTAAAAGAAAAAAATAATGTAAATGACCCCTCCCCTCCAGTTTTTTTTACCAAATAAAAGACATTTTTCCCCTCCCCTTAAACTTCACATACTATTAGTTTGGTAGCCTTTGGGTAATAAATGAGAAACCTAAATCTAGACATCAACCCTATATTCTTATCTTCTTTCTTCTTCATCATCATTCACTTAGAAGTGAAATTCCAATCTCAAACCAGCTTTATTTTCCATAAAACCCCAGAGAAACTTCTAACAAGTCTTAACAAAAAGGTTTACTAGGGTGTTTTTGGTATGCAAATGAATTAGAATTCATTTCATTTCCGAATGAATTCATAAGTACATTCATTTAAAAATGAATTTGTAGGTAGATTTATTTTAAAATAAATTCCTAAATTTTAAAATTTTTGAGTGTGTTTGGTCTAAATGAAAATAGAATTGATTTCATTTTAAAAAATGAATTCACTAGGGAATTCATTAGCGAATTCATTTATAAGCGAACTCTTATTATTGGAATAATTCATGAAATTGTAGAATTCAACTGAATTTCAAAAACATTTTAAATTTGCAATAAATATAGAATTAGATTAATCAAACCAAACACAAGGGTTGTAGAGTTGTAAATGAATTCCACAAAATTTTAATAACCAAACACCATGGTATAGAATTGAAATGAAAAGTTTCTAATCATACCAAGCATAGGGATGTTGAATTAGAAATGAATTCCATAGTTTATTGTGGAAATCGTTTATACCAAAAACACCCTTAGACTTCTAGCAACAATTCTGCTTTCTCGAAAACTTTATGAAGCAGGCTTAGATTTGTAGCCTTAGGAACCTTACAAGTAAAACCCATATCTTTATCTCACCTCTTCTCAATCATTTAATTTTCTGCACTTAGACAAAAATTAAGATTTTAAATCAACTTCCTTTACTGTCTTAATGCCTCAAGAAAAAAATAAAAATAAAAATAAAAAACCTTTCTCACAAGTCCCAAAGAGATTGACATCAATTTACAAAAGTATTTCACCCTACAACAAAAATTATCATTCTTGGTCATGTTCAAATATTATCGATGTCATGAAACATTCTCAAATTTATACACAGTCACAGATTATTTTAAAATTTTGTTTTTAATCAACTGATCAGATTAACAGACTTAAAACACAATTTCAGACAATTAGTCCTTAGGGCTTTGAATTTTGGCTTTGGATAAAGTTTGTCATTGCTAATAAGATACTTTCATTGTACCAAATTAATTACCACCAACAGTTTCAATCAATAGTTCAGTTGTTCAGGTACCAAAATACTCTATGCTATACAGAAAGTAGGACTCTTGTTTCTAGAAGACAGAAACTGACAAAGAATAGAACAAATACCTCCTCCAATACCCTTATGATGCAACAAGAGAAGAAAGTTAACACCAACAAGCTGATATGGCTTGAGAACTGGCTGAAAATCAGAATCACTTGCCCCACATGCCACATCAATATCATTCTGTAGTACAGATAGAGAGCAATTTACAATATAAATCCATATAGAAATAAATATTTGATCTGCTTAGATTAGAACAGAACTTGGAACGGTAAAGAAAACAAACTAATCAATCCCCAATTTACAGGATATGGAACCCCCACAATGAAAATTTCAGCTAGGTTGAAATAATCAAGAAAACAGGTAATTCAACACACAATTCCATGTCTGCAGAAAACTTTCAGTCAAAATGCAAATTATGAAATTTTACCTATGGCGTCATTTCCTGCTTCAATTTCTCAGCAACCAAACAGAAATACCATGGAAACAAAATCAAGAAATGCATGCGGCTATGTAGATCACCTGAGTAACAATCTTCACAGAGGAAGCTTCCACTTCAGCGTATCTCTCGCCTGACGTCACAGAGCCGCCGTACAACTCCCTCCTTAGCTCCGCCGAAATTTTCGAGCACTTCTCCAGAGCCTTTCCAACCACGTCATCCTCTTCCAACTCCTCTTCTTCACTCGACTCTATATCATACACATCCTCAACATTGTTATCATCCTCATCATCATCCACCACAAACCTCCTGCTACGATTCGCCGCTGGCACCACCTCCTCCGCCTCCACGTCGTCGTCCTCCAAGTTACAGTCATCCAATTTGGTCAAATTGCGACCGATTTCGACGCAATCGTCGCTGCTGTGATTGGAATAGTCAGTCTGAGGTTGCGATTGGTATGCGAAGGATTCGATGGGGGCAGGTTTTGGGGATTGCCGGAAGACACGAGACGGCTTGAAAGAGTGGCCCTCCCATTCATCGTCGGAGATTTCGTAGCAGGTACTGCGCTTCATTTGTCCGGGGATGAGAAATTGAACCCTAGGTGGAGGTGGAGAAGAAGAGAAGAAGCGCCATTTGCGAAATCAATTGGGTGCAACAAAAGGCGGTAGAAGTGTAGAACTCGCGAGGAGACGAAGGGAATTTGGGAAAATTCCAATTTTGTTATATTGCCAGAATATAATTCCCAAATCGAGGATAGTAGCGGGAAATATCATTCATTGCACCTATGGATTCCAAACATCCAGAAGGTCATGTTTGCTTGTGTATAATGGCTCTTCCCTAATCAAAATATCAAAAATAAGGTAAATTTTACTAGGCAATTAAGAATAATTAAATCTGTTAATTTTTTAGTAACTAATAATATGTTTAGTTTTGAAAATTTCCAACTAGATCAACTGACTGCTTCCCACATGGTGCATCTCACTGGACTCAAGTTTAAGTCTTTTCCATTCCCTCATTCCTTACAATGTAACTCTGTTCAAAAAAAATATACGTTTAGTTTGAAAAGAGGGAAAAATAAAAGAAAGAAGAAATTTCTTATTTAGATGGTAAAAATTGGAGAGAAGGGGAGAGATTTTATTTTACTTAAATTTATTTTGCATTTTAGTTTAGTCAAATGAGGAAATGGAATCATCATCATCATCATCATCATCAACATCGTTTTTATTATTAGGCGTGAGTAAAATTATTATTTTTGACATATCAAAATACGTTATTCAATATACAATAAAATTAAAGGTGCTTTTGGTATTGTAGTTAAAAGTTTTTTCTTGTAATTGTATAATATTTTTAAATATATGTGGATTTGTTAATTTTTTTGGATTAGGTTTTTTAAAAGTTGTAAAAAGTCAAACAAATGTATAATAATTATATATATAATCATAAATCTCATTTTAAAGTTTTATGATTGTAACTTTCATGGACACCACTAAATATTTAATATAATTATAAAATTATCCATTAAAACATAATTTCATTAAATTCAATTTCATCATAATTTATAATATTTCATTTAAATTTAACTTCTTGTCTATTTGAAAATTTCATAAAAAAATTAAAAACTCATTCTCTCTTTATAAGTTACTCTTTTGCAACCCCCCCTCAAAAAAAAAACCTATCATAAGAAACCTAAAAAACCTAAATTATTAAAAAGTAATAAATGTTATATATTTTAATAATTATACATCATGCAATATTTTTTAAATTTTAATTAATAATTAATAAAATTTACCATATGTCATTTATAATATTTTTAAGAAATAAATAACCAAATATCAAAATATCTTTCAGTCATAATTATAATACAATACAGTTTAGTACAATCACAATTACAACTATAGTTACAATACCTTACAATAATGTCAAATGCACTCTAAAACTCTCTTAGATTCTCCTTAGGCTAATCTCTCCGACTTAGGAGCCCTTCTTTTTCCTCCTAGTCACATCCTCCCCTTTATAGCACCACTTGGGTTCTCATTGCTAATTATCTTGCTTTGGTCCCCTCAACCCTAAAGACCATAAGACGCAACATATCTCTTGTATGCTATAATGGTTTTCTTCCACATCTCTTGTTTGCTTGTTAAAAGTTCAAAAATTGAATTTAGCAAGCTTGGGTCTTAACAGCAGAACCTCTCGTCAACGGTTTTGCTAAGGTCAAGTTTGTTTGTTTTATAGTTGCTTTGTACAATCCTATCCCAAAGATGAATCAATTTGAATGGCCTTCATAATGCTCTAATGACTTCTTAGAATCTGAAAAAGGTTTACAAAATCTCTAAAATAGGGATAAGTTTTATTTGTTCCAATTCTCAAATGTCAAAGATTTCAACGAAGTTCTTTACAAAGCCCCCTAGAATTTAGCAACTCATTGATTGTTCTTAAGAGATTCCAAGTTTCTTTAGCTGCAAACCAATACAACTTTTTTACAAATCGATTTTGGATTTTTATTTTTGATACTTCCAGCTTACTAGTCACATGATTAGGAGTTCTATCAAGAAGGCGATAGAGGTAAATGATGGGTTTAGCAAAGTTCTAGTTAAAATTGAATTAGATGTGACTAAGCCTTTGAAATGATTGAAAACCACCCAAGTCACTAGAGCCAAAGCCATAGAATTAAATATGATGGCACTTTGAGATTGATTGTGAAATTGCCCATCATCTCAAAGAAGTAAGGAAGAAACTTGTGAGACACTTTTGGTCCTAGTTGAAAGTTGAATAAGAGAATTAATGGCTTCTGGATACTATTGACAAACTTGATAACTCTTTCTCTACTGGTACCCAACTTTTAATTGATGGCTTTAACAATGGACGGGAAGCTGATTCAAATCATTCTGGTCTTAACAGGGAGAATAGTAATCAAAGTAATTTACCAAACACGTCAAACATGGCTACAATCAATGGCAATTGAATAAAGGAAAGAAGGGATGTTGGTGAAGCTAGTCCAGTATTGAAAGGGGAGGATAGTGTCCAAATAGGAACAAGGGCTCTAGCTCCCTTAGTGGAAAAGCACCTAGTTGAAAATCCTTTTTCCTAAGAATTCAACAACATCAAGGGCTCAAAAAAGATTGGAAGAGATGGGAACTAGGTCAAGAACACATGGAGATGCATGGAATGTGAACCTAAGGCCTCAATGTGCAAAAAATGAAATATTCATGGTAAGAGGAAGATTAGTTATGATCCTATTACAATTAAGAAAGCAACAAAAATGTTTATTGATAATGCAAGGGTGACTTGCACTCACATTGAGGAGGACCATGCTCCTTTTGCTAGTTAATGTTTATGAATAGATAGCATGACAACTTGCAAGTTAGGAACTGTTGTTACCATACTCATTTGCTTCCCCCTTTAAGCTAGTAAATAGGTGAGAATGATCAAAAGTTTAGGATGCTTATAGTGACCTTCTTTTCTATAATTCTATCATGTTTTAACTTAGACAACAATTGCATATTTAGATATAGATATTACTTAATTATTTGTATTCAGTTTGGGTATAGTTTAAAGATCAATTATTGGTATACCTTTTAATTCAACAGACATAATAACACTCACCGTGTAATACCCCAAAATTTTGTGCTATTTTAGCATTTAAGTAAGGGTTTTTGTGTGGGAAAAATATTGTTTTGGGCTTAATAGCCGAAATGCCCAAAGTTGAGGGATTTAAAGAGGGAAAATAATTGGATAAGGATCAGTTTCTTTTCTTTTCTTTTTTCCTTCTTTTCTTCCCCAGCCATTTCCCGATTCTGCTCTTCTTCTTCCCGCTGCAGCCGAACAAAGCCCCCAAGCTGCCGGCGACTTCCTCCCTTGAAAAACCGGTAAAGCTTGATGATTTTCCCTTATTTTCTTGTCCAAGAACCTGATTTAGAACCCAGAAATCTCTCCCTCTCTGCAGAAACCCAGATCTGGTCGGTTCTCCCCTCCCCTGTCCGTGAGCTGCAGCTTGTGGGTGGGTGATTTCTGGGCATGTTTTCGGTAAGAACAGCCATTAATTCATCCTGTTAGCCTTAAATTAACTTGGGTTTACCTTAATTTCCTCTTGGTTCTCCAATTTTCGAGGTAGGCCGTGAGCTTCTTCTCCAAATTGCCGCCGGCTTCTCTTCCCCCTGCAGCTCCGGTTTTAGCTGGAAAATTCTGGTATGTGACAGCCTTTTAAGGCTTAAATTATCCATTTTGTTTGCTGCCTTGTGTGTCCGAAATTCTGCAGAAAAATGGGGTAAATTCCGGTAGCAATTAAGAGGGATTTTAAGTGTGTTTTGTTGCTTAATTCATGTGTAAATTGCTTGAGTTGATTGCTGTGATTTTTGGAGAGAAAACCCCGTGATTAGCTAGTGTTTTGGCCAATTTGTGAAAGTCGGGGTTACTGTTCACGGGTACTGTTTACCGGTTACTGTTCACACCCCGAGTGCCAACATTTAACGGGGATTTAAATGATTTAAATGATTAGTTTGTGATATGAGAATGAATTTGGAGATGTCCGATCATGTGGAAAGTGATAGAAATAGCATTATGATTAGGAATGATCCTAATAAAGTGTTCAGTGTGAATTTGTGATAGTGGTATTAATTCTGAGGTGTTTTGATTAGGTTCTCGATTGTTCTGTCAGTTAGTGCGTGAATTGAGTGCTCGGTTTTATGCGAGTGAGGTAAGTAAATTTATGGTAATGCCCGTACTATTTTAAAAGCATGTTTTGATTTGTTTTTGAAGTGGTGGGGGGACTAAACCCGTTTTACACGAGCATGACTGATTTGAAGTGAAAGGTTTTATGCTTTTCATTAAATTGAGCATGACTACTTGAAAGTTTAAATGACTATCCTGATGATTTGAAAGTGATTGTGAATCGTGATTTTTCTGTTAACTTCTGCCTGTTTTGTCTCCGATATGGTCATGTTATTCGTGTGCCTGCTAGTGGGAGGTTTATAAACGCTAGCACATGTCGACATGTTACTGATAGAACCGGTT